CGGGAGGCGTCCTGGGGGGGGGGGCCGATGTAGCCGGTCTGTGCTGGGGGGTGGGGCTACAGAGGACAGGAAAAGAAGAAATATAGTATTAAAACAGTTATGAAGTACACTACTCTTAAGGCCCAATATGCTCATGGTGAAATTCTTCGCTTACACCTTGTCTACACCATCTACGCGAGTGGCATGGTGCGAAGTGACACAATAAAAGACAATAGAACCCATTATAATCAGGTGATGCTGTCTACGCTGGATGCAGCACGGCATGACATGACAAATCCAGCTTTTGCAGCACAGTGCGACGCTAGTTAGTTAGTTACAAAATTACAACAGTTTGTTCTTTAATTTCACTTTAATTATACTGGGGCCTTTAAAGGGTTAAGGCCTGTTCCACATTTGGGGTCTTGGCCACTTGAGAGTGCGTGTGCAACAGGAAATAAGTGAACAATACTGTCCCAGGTCTAATGAATGCCAAAGCTCAGTGCACGTGTTGCACATTAGATCCACATTATGTCTAATAGCGCATTGGAGCGGTATTTGAAGCCAAGCGTACCCCATCATCCATCATGTACAGGAACCCATGTGACTCAATATCGTGAGACGTCAAGAACAACTTTCCAGTGTAAGCTAAATTAATTAGATTGTACATAGAAAAAATGTGTATACAAAGCTCTGTTAAATGAGCAGTTTTACAACACTATGATGTAGTGTGTGCCATCAGATAATTAAAAGTTCTACACACACTTGTGGTCTTCACACTCAATTGAACACTTGGGGAATACAGGAAATACACCAGGAAACACCAAGAAATACAGGGCTGGACAAAATAATGTGAACACCCATTATTATAGGGGTTAATATAATTTGTGTAGGCTACAGGGAAGAAAAAAAACGTTGCGATTATAATCTTTTTATTGTCTATACTCTCTAGGTTGCATCTCAGTGTACTATGGGTCAAATGGGTGACTTGTCAGACCTCCAAAAAAGGACAAATCATTGAAAGCTTGTTTAGCAGGAATGTCTATAACGCAACTGTTTGATGTTTTAACAACAACAGTCTTTACGATCATGAGCATGTACACAAAGCATGATTAGACTTAATCAGCAAAGAAGAATAGAATGATAGGGACCATCGAACACTAAGAAGGACTGTGTCCGAAAAACACAGAACTACTGCAGCAAAGTGACAGCAAACCTCAATATTCACCTTAAGGACCCTGTTTCCACAAACACCGACCAGAGAGGCCCGTGTTCATATTTCATTCTAAACATAGAAAGCCACAGTAATGGGAATGCAATTCCTTTCCAGACAGCAGCATGCTGTTCATTTTCTAACCTATTCTCTGGAATCCAGCTGTCGTTGACGGGCGGAGGCGCAGGAGTGGACACAGTGCTGGTGCTGATGTCACCGATGATGCTGAGGGCCTCTTTTATGGCGTGGTACATACGCAGCATCTCGTCTCTGCGCTGGGCCTGGTCAGCAGACTCCTCCATCAGACTGTTCTGATCTCCTGAGGAGTACAGGTATGCCAACAGCTCGGAGTGGATGAAGTCTTTCGCCTGGGGACAGCAAGACAACAGAAAAGGAAGGAAAGATAATGAAGAGGTGAGGATGTTTGCAATAAGCTATGTACAATGAATGTTTCAAGATGAACTGCTTAAAACACAAGCGGTTGTGCACTTACGTTGTTGATCATGAGATGCATGATAGTCTTGGGCATGAGGTCTCTGATGGTCTTGTTGACGATACCAGTATAGGAGTCCACCAGGTTACGAATGGTCTCCACCTGCCTCTCCAGCTGAGGGTCCATGGAGAAGCTGTCGACTGGAGTGGCCTCTTCTGACTCCACCTACACAACATACACATCCCAGTTTCTTTACAATCACTTCTTATTTAATTTGTTGCCTTTGATCTAAGTTTAGGACTTTTCATGAATTTTAACGACAACATCTAAAGTGACCTGTATCTTTAATGCATGAGTGGATGAGTGAAAACTATTCTTAGGGAAAATGAAGAGAATTTTCATTTTTCATTTTCATTCTTTGATGAAAATGGGAGAATTCATCAAAATGTAAAACTTTCTTTACCTCTAAAACAACTTCTGCTGACCAAACCAAGACTGCGTAGATGGGAAAAACATTTTAACTATTTACTAGATACTAGACGACGTGAGTGATGTTTGCCCATGTAAAAGCTGTGTAAAAGTTGTTGCTAAGATGATTTAAGAGATCATCTGCTATACAGCTGCTACTGCATTTTGAGTGTTTTTAACATGTTGCAGTGTGAGTGTTTCTGGCTTGCTGCTTATGCAAATTGCTTAGTAATAAGTAATAACATAGTAATAACACAGTAATAATATAAAAGCATACCTGTCTTTAACAAACTGCAGATTTTCAGGTACCATGTCAATAACAGAAATGCATTTGCTAATATGTGCCTATTTTTTTCAACTCCCTAACTCCAAGTACATATAATAATAATAATATTCATGTTTGCCTTAGATGCACCACTACTACTACTACTATTAATTTCATAACATACATTACCGCTCAAAAGTTTGGCATCAGTAATGTTGTTTTTGAAAGAAAGTCATACTTTTATTCAGCAAGTTTGCATTCAATTGATCAAAAGTGACAGGAAAGACATTTACAATGCTAAAAGATATATGTATTTCAAATAAATACTGCTCTTTTGAACTTTCTATTCATTAAAGAATCCTGAAAAAAATGTATCATGATTTCCACAAAATATTAAGCAGCACAACTGTTTTCAGCATTGATAATAATAAGAAATGTTTCTTGAGCACCAAATCAGTATATTAGAATGATTTCTGAAGGATCATGTGACACTGAAGACTGGAGTAATGACGCTGAATAGGAATAGATTATTAGAAAATAATTTTATTATTTCACAATTATATTTTTACTGTATTTTTGCAATAAACGCAGCCTTGGTGAGCAAAAGAGACTGTGTAAGTGTAAGTGACAAATAAATCCTGATACCAAAAGTCCTACCATTCATTATTTCCCACTGAATGTTCAGTTTTATTTGTATACATCACATCATGAAAGTTAAACGTGTAGACTTTAAACTCTCAAAAATGGAATATGGAGTGCTTTAGATTGTCCATGTGTTCAAACTGAACATTAGTACCTGATCTTTCTCAGGATAAACGCCTGCTCGGAGAAAAGAGGCTTTCCAGCTGTCCATGTCCTCCTGCGAATCACAGGCCAGCTCGATCTGACGCAAATCCTTATACACGTTCCTGCGAGGGGGATCGAATACATGAAGTGGCCGAACACCAAACTCAAATACACAAACATAGAGAGTTGCAGTCAGCACTGACCTTTGCTCCGTGTTGAAGATTGCAAAAATGTGCTTGGTAGACATGAAGCCTTTCTCCACGTCTCTGAGCTTCAGGTTGTCCAGAGGAAGCATGTATTTCTTCTCTTTTTCCTAGTAGAGCGAGATGAGAGAGGAAGAGTTACAACAATTTTATAAACCACTTCACAGTGGTATCAAAAGCTGCAGAGTTCTGAGATTCTGAATACAATACATAACAATGGATGTATAAAAAAGTGCCACATGAAGATTTTTGAAAACATCTTTTGTGATCATATGGGTTTGGAATGACATGACCGCATTTTCATTTCGAAGTGAACTGTCCCTTTAAAGAAGGACCACCAGGTTGCCAAGCCAGAGAGGGGGATGTGAGACAGAGACCGAAAAGAAAAAGAAGAGGAGGAGTCTGGATGAGGACTAATGCTGCCAACTCGTTCTGTTGAGTTGAGAAGCAGCATCTGGAAACGTTTATGTCTGCACAGCTACGGCCCCAACAGTTACATCACTCAGAAGAACACTTCCCTGCCCCCAACACACACACACACACACACATTCATATACACACACAACAACCCCCCAGTACGATTTCCTGCAAATTCCAAAGTCGGATCCCGGCTGGAACATTTCAGTGCGCTTGCCACGTCACTTTGCCTCCCCTTTCGTCCCTTTTTTACATTCGTCCTCTCATTTCTCCATTTATCGCTTTCTCTTTAACTTCGAAAACCACTGCTAAAGGCACATTTCTCAGTGTTATTCATAAAACAATGGTACAGAGCAAAAACCGCACATGGTTCAGAATGCGAAAATGGAGCCATGATGGCAAAACGCTCTGTATTCCTCTCGAAGAAACTACAGAGGCCTGGAATATGCATTTGCCACGCAGCAGCGGACATGTGAGTAAACCGAATATATACGTTTGAAATGAATTCCTAATGTAAACATTATCAAGAAGTAATGTTGGGATATTCAGTGATGTTGTTTCAACCGATTTCATTATGTTTAGATTCATAATATATTTAATATAATTTTTTTGTGCATATGCGGACCAGCTTTAATTACTTGATTCTTCATGTGCCTTCATTACTCGGTGCAAAAAGCTTTTTATAAGTAAAAATCTAAACAAAACCAGCACATTTCACTCCAAAATCAAAAGAGGTTATATTTTTACATTAAGAAAATGAAACCTATTTAACTGTAGCATTATTTTCATGAGAATTAAGCTTCCCCCCCCCCTCAAATTATCATTAACGTAGTATGTCAGAATATTTTACTTTTCCACTTTTTTTGTATTTTTGTTTTTGTAATTTTATCATTCCCAATTTATTCCCAATGATTTTCATTAGACTTGTTATTTTAATACAATGTTATTTTACTGTTATAAATTACATAAATCATACTTTACAATTGAAATATCAATATTTTTGACAGTCTTACAGTATTGAGAATCAGATTTATGGGGATTCTGATAACTTAACTTGCTGCTGAAACAAAGTTACAATCCAAACATCTTAATGGTTATATAACAACCTTCATTTACTTTGGAAATATTTCTTATTACTCTATTTTAAATAAGTAGTGAGATGAACATAAGATCGACGCTTTATCAGTGTGTCTGTCTGAACTGTTTACTCTCCTCTGCAGTTGTGTGCGGTCCTCGGGGCAGTGACCTGCGGTCCAACCACCCTCTTTCCTCCCCCCCGCCTGCCCAGTGTTCAGACTACCTGTTCATCATGCTGCAGCTGAACAGTAGTCCGCACATTGGTTAGGCTGGGCAGGGACACACACACCCGTGGCTCGAGCAAATGGACTCTACCATTCGCTGCAGAACGGGGGAATTTTACATATAAACAATCTCTCTTGGGGAATAAATTGAGACGTTTACATTGAAGTTGCTTTGGAGCTTCTGCCAAATGCATTAAAGCACACATTCATAAATTTATGTGCTCCCTGGGAATGAAACCCAAGGCCTTGATGTTACTAGCACCGCATTCTACCAGTCAAGCCACAGGAACTCTGGAAAACAGCTAACGTTTGCACTAATTTCAAACACACATGGAGTTCGAGCCCAACTTGAGTGGAGCTGGTTTTAAGATGAAGCGATTGGGGGAGGGACTGCAAAAGAGAAATGAAGAACAGATCTCACCTCCTCGTCCTTGTACCAGGACAGCGATTCGGCCGTCAGGACAAACCAGTACTCCTTGGAGCCACCCTTCATAATGCTGATGTTGAGGGTTAGCCAGCCTTTACGGATCACCTGTGGGACAGAGGGTGGAGGGGGTGGAGGGTGTAGGGCATGCCACAAGAGTGGGGAAACATTTATGAGATCCACACATGTACATTCAACAGTCTTTGTGCTGGAAGCTTGTGTCCTATGCTGAACAAACCTAAAAACCCTATTGTGCAAACCTTTGGTGCTTACCTGTTGTGGAAATATTTTGTGTAACTCTGCCAAAGTTTGGTTGCCTTCTATGGTGGCTAATGTGATTAACTAAATAACTCTGCTTTGTACATTACAGCAGTGGTTCTCAACTGGTTTCGAAATTTTTTCAGGCAAAAAAAGATCCATTGTTTCCAATTTTTTGTTGACATTTTGCAGGTAAAAATGGTCCATTGTTTTGTTAAAATCTTTTCAGGCAAAAAAGATACACTGTTATTACATTTCAATGTTAATATTAGCAATGCATAACACAGAAATCACTTTTTTAAAACAAGTAGCATTATGTTTGTCAATATAGCGAATCTGTGCGACCGTGTTGAACCCGTTGCGAAATCCCTCACGCATGGATTCCAATGGAAATTGGAATTTCGTATGTGAAAATTTGTTCACACATCCCATCAATATGCAAAAATATTAACATACAAATAAATATTCATAGCTAAACAGGAAAAGTGATGACTGTAACTGCATGAACAACAGCAGAAGTGCGACTGACCAACTTAAACGCATAAAACATGTTGTATCAGTATTAGCGAAAACGCCCAGATTTTTGATTCGAAGTGTTTTCTTTCTTTTTTTATTTTACCTGATATACACAATTATATGCCTATTTGCACTTTACTATTCACATTTAGCTTTAGGTTGCGATTCACCAGTTGGGAACCACTAGACTACAGTATCTAGCGTTACTCTGCATGGAGTCGGAACATAAGGCAGAAATTAAAGCTTAGTTACAAATAAACGCTCTAGAAACTCTGAATATACACTAACAAAACCACTGGGGAGAGTCTTGAAGTCTTGAAATAGAGCAACAATAAAAGAATAAAGGAACAATTTTGTTGTGCTTGTGGATTTTTTTTTTTCGTTCTAAAGCACAGGGAAACGTGACATCAGATGCCATCCAGACCCACTGGATGCCAGAGAACAGGAATCAGAGGTCGGCAGTGGTATGTTACGGTCAAATTAGTGAGTAAAAACAAGCCTACATGCTGGTAAACGAAGGAGAATGCTGTTACTGGTGTTAAATGGAGAAAGACGTACACTCAAGTGTGAAAACCTATTGAACGGGAAGGAATAGTGAAAGAAGACACAGGTAAGCGGGTCGTAACCAGAGGCTGTTTGCTAAGAGAAGGTACAGGAGCTGGAGAAGAAAGGGTTAGTCAAGGAAACGGGAGGGAAAGGCTTTCAGATTTCAGTGGTAAAGAAATTTCAGTGTTATTTTTGAGGTTAACTCTAGGATTGTGGAACACTGTTTCGTAAAGTCAACAGAATCAAAATGAATCTTATTTCCATTATTAAAGGGTTAGTTCAACCAAAAATGAAAATTAGCCCATTATTTACTCACCCTCAAGCCATCCTAGGTGTATATGACTTCCTTCTTTCAGATGAATCCAATCGGAGTTATATTAAAAATTGACTTTGATCTTCCAAGCTGTTTAATGGCAGTCAGCGGGTGTTGTAGTTCATCAGTCCAAAAGAAGTGAAATAAAGCGCATCCATCCATAATAAAAAGTGCCTCACACGGCTCCGGGGGTGAACAAAGGCCTCCTGTAGCGAATCGATGCTTTTTTGTTAGAAAAATAACCATATTTAAAACGTAATAATTTAATCTAGCTTGCGCTCACTGTTGTACACGGAAGCAGCTCTGGGCAGATGACGTAGGACTTCGGCATTGCGCATGCGCCGCTCAGAAGTGATGAACGCGGACGCGCAGGGGAGAGATCAAAACATAACAACAGTCACGAATTAGAAGTACAAAATGAGGATTTGTAAAGAAGAATGTCGGAGGATTTCGATATAAGCCAAGAGGGTGTGAGGCACTTTTTGTTATGGATGGATGCGCTTTATTTCTTTTGCTCACTTCTTTTGGACTGATGAACTGCAACACCTGCTGACTGCCATTAAACAGCTTGGAAGATCAAAGTAAATTTTTAATATAACTCCGATTGGATTCATCTGAAAGAAGAAAGTCATATACACCTAGGATGGCTTGAGGGTGAGTAAATAATGGGCTAATTTTCATTTTTGGGTGAACTATTCCTTTAATGCACATTCCAGCTCCGTTCTGGTACTACATCTTACATCGAAATACCCCATAGCATCAATGACACTGAACGTTTTCCATTAAAGAAAGAAATATCAAAACAAAATGTACTGCAAGCATTTCTACGGTGCCATCCCTTTTCTCCCTTTCCATTTTGCTTTGTTCTCCGTAAAAACGGAGTGAAACTGAGAGGAGGGGGTTAGAGTTAGACAGCGCCAACAGAAACAACGCAGACATAAAGCTATAACAGGCTATATAGATTGTTTGCCTTGGTGGGGAAATGCCATCAACCTTCTTAAATCTAGAAACCTGATAGCCATCTCTGAGAGGGGAAAAAAGACAGAAGAGACTGATGAGCAGAGAAAAACACCAGGACAGTACGGCTCAGGCATCTCGTGCTAGGATGTACTGCAGCGACCCGAACAAACGACCACAAAAACGCTCTTGAATACCCAGCAAATATCTGTGGTCAGAGCCTGGCTTGGGCTCTGTATTCTCTAACATGGATCCAATTACCCTTTTGCCGCCCACAACTGAAAGAAATGAGAGCATGACCCTATTTTCCATTGTGTTTGGATTTCACCGTTCTTCCACGTTGCACATTCTGACTGCTGTCTCTCTAAATTAAACAAATTAATCCTAATATTATGTACATTTAAAATGCATAATTATTAACAAGTTAATCAAAGAGTTGGCAAAATATGATCAGACATTTCATTAAACAGAAATTTGTTGACAGAAGGGATGATTTTGAATTAAAGATGAGATGATTAGATGATTACCTGTGAGAGGCGACTGTTAATTACCCCAATAGAAATCTCACAATTAACTTTGCCCCAGAAAGGATTTCTCTAAGGTTGAGCAGTTAATTTAGTAAATTAGAGCCAATTGATTAGCAAAAGGAACCCGGCACTGCCACATTCTGGCCATTACTGGCACACCAAAGGAAAAAATAAATAAAAAAATCAACAACTAAATACCAACTTACTGTTATGGTAGGGCTGGACAATATTTTGTTTATCCACAATAAGTTCGGTACAGATATAAAATTAAGCAACAGTTATTATTGTGATGACTTTAAGACCCTTTTACTGTATTTGGCCATTAAGTTTGTGATTTTGTGATTAAGATTCAATTTAATTCAATTCATTTAATAGTTTCAAAATATGATTCAATGATTCATCACCTTAAAAATGCTCATGCCCTTTGTGGCACTTTACAATTATTAAAAGTTAATAAACAAATCTAAAGGTAAATGTTTATTTATGACTGAATTGTTACATAGCTACTCTTCATTTAGTGAAAAACAGAAAACATGTCTTGATTGCGTTAATTAGATATTTATCGCTTTACTTTTGAACTACTTGACAAAAATGGCTGTTTGGATGCAATGACATTAAATATAGTTAAAAGGTTCAAACATATTGAGAATTTTTAAGCCATATAGCCCAGTCCTACCTCAGACATGTTGTTAGTATAAAGGAAATCATATATCAGTGGAAAATAATTGTGATTAGCTCTTCATGGCAAATGCATTGAAAAATCTATAAAAATACATTAATTCATTAAAAATGCACACCACATACATGTAAAGAAATCCCAATCACACACCACATGTTATCTTGGGTTTGATTTTGGCTCTTTAGTATGAATTGGATGTTTTCTTGGCCCCGCCCACCCACCATATCCCCATGGTGACGTAGAGGCTGATTCTCCACAAGGCAAACTCTGCTCACCCAGCCTGGGCCACCAGGACTCACATCCAGCAACAGGACAACCAAGGCCTCCATTTCACTCCATTTTCTCATTAAAAAAAAAAAGGTTCTTTCATGCATAAAAATACACTGATATGAAATTAAGGGTGCACTGTGACATTTTCTCAAAGGAATGGTTAGTAATGTTCTCTCGGTTTAATTACTAAAATTACCGAATGTTAGGTGATGCCACTAATTACAGTGGGCATTTTATGGTGGAATTGATGTCAGTTACTGATTAGTCGTAACTGTAATTGAAAAACTAGCCATAATTAAAATTTTTATTCCATTTTGGTTTTTCCACCAGACTATACCTTCTCGGCTTCACCTTCTCTCAGGCCACCTAGCTGCAGAGTGAAAGAAAAACCATCAGCTTTATAACTCTCGTCAGCAAGTTTACACACAGACATCCCACCCACACTGGTAATTACAGAGTTGTTTGACCTGTTACGGCCTCAGTTCTCCTGACTGGATGAGCGCTGGTGACCTTTAACTGGGCATGGCTTGTAGGTTTGTGGTACTTACCAGTATTTCACCCTGCAGTGATAAGGAGGGATGGGGGTGGGGGCAAGTTTTGGGGAGAAGAAATGAGACAGAGACACAGGAAACAAGCAAAGCCAGGAAGGGAAGACAGTGCCGTTAAGAAAGACATTTTTCAAATGGAAATGAAAAGGTTTGACGGGGGCAAGGGTGTGATGGAGTGAGTCAAAGAACACAGAAAAGTCATAATGAGAAAAAAGTTAGAAGCAGACACACAGTGAGAGAGAGAGAGAGAGAGAGAGAGAGAGAGAGAGAGAGAGAGAGAGAGACACAGACTGACAGAGAGA